GCGGACACTAGTTATAACATCGCGATGCAGTACGTCTGTACGTAAGATAAGTTACGGAGCTCAGTTGTGTGTTCTGACGACCCAATGCAGCCCGCATTCTGCGTGTTGGTACCAACATGTTCACGCAACTTTCGTCTCCACGTAGATGAAAGTTGCACATGTATTGACTGGAAAATGTGACATCAATCAGTCACTTCCTCGTAACACCATTTTCATATCTCTTCTTGACGCTAACTCAGGTTCCCTGTCAAACCGTAGAGATCTGTAATTAGTCTAAATGCGCAAGCCTCGAAGTGTCGAAATTGATTCGAGAAAGAAATACACAGATTCGAACGTTAGGTTTGCAGTTTGTAGAATTTCCAGATAAGTGCTCTGCTTGGTGCAGTTGCAAGGAATCCGCCTGATCTTCAGAATCGCAGCGATTGGCAATGCTGGCACAAATAATCTTGTGAACAAAATCTCCGTCTCTTCCCTTCTCGCCGCTTTCTTCATTGGGCGAAAAAGGGCATGACCCTGGAATCGTTTTTTTATAAAATTATTGTTGAAAAAATGGCTTTAAAACGAGTATGATAACAAAAAGGATAAGTAGTACGCGTTCTTGCAGTATAAAGAAATTGCTAGGGTTACAGATTGTGATTACAGTGAAGAGGTTGGTCTAATAAAGAAAATTCTCCTTTACGTTTTGGATTTTTTAATGTTTCTGAATTTTCATCTGGAACTGGGGAAGTCATTTTCGCATTTTCCTACTACAGAGTATTCAGGCGGGCTATTGGACCCTTCAGGTTGGATATCAGCCTCTGTCATTACAGGGTGTCAGAGAATAATGGCAATTACACATTTTCTTGAAGGCGGGTGTGCGCAGCGATGTGCTGACCAAGCGGGCTGATGTAATGGTTACATTCTGGCCCTCCACTGGGCAGGTATGAGGTTCGAATCTCAGCTGGTTTACCGTCTAACTTAAGTGTTATCATCTCATCACCTTCCAGAATCTTATCATGCTCGGCACAGCGACTGGCTACGGGCTGCACGAAAGAGCGGTCGAAGTTCGAGTCCCGGTAGGGTCAAGAATTTTCTCTTCTCCACGTCCTCCTGACCGGCTCTGAGGCCCACCCGGCCTCCTATCCAATAGGTACCGGGGATAAAGCGACCGGGTCGTGAAGCTGACCACTCACCTCCACATAGCGCCAAGGTCAAGAAACTGTGGATCTGTACATGCACTCATCTATACGCCTTCATGGCGTAGGGCTTAATTAATTAGGGATAGGGTCAATTTCACTTTTACTTTACATGAACAGCTATGTCGGTCCATTGTGAACTGCGCTTTGAACTCTCCGTTGTTCTACCGTCCGTGTGTTTGGACCCAGCCATTGTCAGCAGAATCCCTGTGGGTTTGGTCCCGTACACTAAATGACAGGAATTTTAGCCTGTTTATCGGTTATAACAGTACCTTAGTTACATTGCGTCACCTTCCCTCCCACAATGTACCTATAACCACTACTCCGCTATTAAAGAGTAAAGTCCTTGTGCTTACCTAATTAAGCACTACGCCATTAAGATGCGTGGGGGAGAGGATATACAGATCACGTTTTCTTGACCTCTGCACTAGTTGGACGTGAGTGGTCAGCTTCACGCCCCGGCCCCTTTAACCCCGGGTAAAGAGCTTCCTGTATCCATTGTATAGGGAGTTGGGTGGGCTTCAGAGCCGGTCAGGAGGACATGGAGAAAAGAGAATTCTTGACCCTACCGGGACTCGAACTCTGACCCACTCAGTCGTCCAGCCCGTAGCCAGTGGCTATCCCTGCTACTTCTCCTGACGTTCAACCCAGAATACTGGGCCAAAACACGACCTGTTTCTGCCTGCAGGCACCCCTTAGCGCTCCGAATGCAGAGTGCGTTTTCTGGGTTGTAACACCACGTCGGTATCTTGCTTGGCCATATACTCGTAATCCTCCGAAACGTCGTGACTCCACAACGCGGAAGACCGTATTCTCCACAGCAGACTGTTGTTTCGCAATCCGAGCCCCCCCTGAGGAAGGTGGTGATGAACTGGAGAACGCTGTGTGTAACCGCGACAGTCAGTCTTGACAGCCAGCCGGTCAAACCACTCGTTTCTCTGCGGCTGTAATTAGCATTTCACGCGCAAGGAGCGCGGCTGCAGGCTTTCTTGTTCCTGAGCGAGGCCTTCAGCGTCTCCGGACCGCAGACCCACAAGTGTGAGGGTCACACATTGAAGGGAATGAGGAATAAGTAGGACGAGGAGAGAGAGAGAGAGAAAGCTATCCCTGTAACAGGCCGTGGAGGCCCATAGGGTTGTGAGACGTCGAGGCTCCCGCATTATCTAGACACTCGGCCTTACGCGCCAGCCGCCCTTTATCCCCAGGAAGATTCCCGGTACTCATTTCTGTTAGAGGCTGAGTCGATCCCAGGGCCTAGTGCGGCTGGCAAGATTAGGTAAACTGACAGAATCCAAAGACATCATCGGGAATAGAACCCGCGACCTACTGGCTTGTAGTATAGTGCAGCCTCGTACCCCAGGAAGAGGGGAACAGAGGGGATAACAGAGGAAACAGAACAGGACTGAAGGAAGAAAAGAATCGGGGGAACGGAAAGAACAGAAGAGGGATAAAAGATAAAGGATGAGAAGACAATAAGGACAATAGGAAAATGAGGACAGTAATGAAGAGAAGGGGAACGTGCTTTCGATGTGAGCCGGTTAGGAGTGGGGTGAGACCGCAGCCTCAAGCGCCTGATACTGTTCGAGTGTCGAGGGTCACTTAAAGTTGTCTATGTGCTATGGAGATATAGCTCACGCATTCCCTGGAGTCCACTCGGCCCCATTTGGACAGCAGAACTGCTGGGTTCTAGAGCTGACCTGGACACGGTGCTGAAAACATTTCTGCCCCCACCGGGAATGGAACACAGATTATCCGATCGTCCAGTGCTTAGCCTAGTAGCTACACTAATGTCATTATTCGTTGGCACTCTAATTCATTGACGCTGTCCCGCCCCCTTTCACGAGCCGCCACTGGCAGTTAATATCATGTCTCGCGGTCTGCTGCAACGTACCCTGCCGAGCACTGTCCCCTATCACGAGCCGCCACTGGCAGTTAATAACATCAAGTCTCGCGGTCTGCTGCAACGTACCCTGCCGAGCACTGTCCCCTATCACGAGCCGCCACTGGCAGTTAATAACATCAAGTCTCGCGGTCTGCTGCAACGTACCCTGCCGAGCACTGTCCCCTATCACGAGCCGCCACTACCCTGCCGAACACTACCCCCTATTACTAGCATCGTGTCTCGCGGTCTGCTGTAACGTACCCTGCCGAGCACTGTCCCCTATCACGAGCCGCCACTACCCTGCCGAACACTACCCCCTATTACTAGCATCGTGTCTCGCGGTCTGCTGTAACGTACCCTGCCGAGCACTGTCCCCTATCACGAGCCGCCACTACCCTGCCGAACACTACCCCCTATTACTAGCATCGTGTCTCGCGGTCTGCTGTAACGTACCCTGCCGAGCACTGTCCCCTATCACGAGCCGCCACTACCCTGCCGAACACTACCCCCTATTACTAGCATCGTGTCTCGCGGTCTGCTGTAACGTACCCTGCCGAACATTGAAAATGGGAAAAAACGTGTTGCGTAGGTCGGGCCCTGCATGGGCTTATTGCGCTAAATCCGTTATGGAATCGGAAACTTGCAACATCGAGGCAATAAGCTCCCAGCATTCTTGACCCGCCAACAAAATAAGACAGTTTGGACGCAGGAATACCGTTCGACCTCTCCCCACTCCTCTGACGCGCTGCGCAAGGGTGACCAGAGCGAGCACTGTGGACATACGAGTATAACGATGTGTACTCGGGAGAAAGTGAACCAACCCTTGTGAAGAACGTACATGTCATTTTCACCGTCGAAGAATGATACGAGCAACAAACCAATCTGAAGCCGGTGGCAAGCAGAGCTCATCCGAAACGTCGGTCGACTTTCACCGGACTATCCTTATATGCTAGAACACTGCTGAGAGAAATGCGAAACCAACATAATACGTGGTTTGTTTATTGGTTACACTCGTGTCCGTCTACTCCTCATCACGCCACTGAGGCTCTTCTGCCAACAATCTTTAAACAGTTTGCCCGTGCAAAAGGATTTTCGCTTCAGTTTCAGATATTACTTTTGTTGTGACGATTACATACATTTACAGTCCTTAGGACCTTGAACTCAAACTCACATCACCTTCAGAGCACAACATTCCCGCACTAATATGACCAGTTTATGCAAATTCACGTACTGAACTATCTGCAGGTTCTGTTCCCGTCTGCACTGAGCGATTGCCATTGTTCCCTCGGTATACGGAACGTGATGTCATGATTGAGGTGTTTAGTATTGTCACGAGTAAGAGTGGGTATGGACGGGGTTTTGGATTGGTGTTGGATTTACTGACCACTTCAACACCCGACTCGTGACTATACTTAATTATAACGCCATCGCCAATCTCCACACTTTACAAAACACCACAGCACACGCTAAGTCCTCTCAGTCTGCTGTGTCTTCAACAGTCATTTCCTGTTCCATTTTCTCTACAGATTTTATTCGAAGCACTTTCCTCTCCGATAAATATTTAACGAGTTAGCTAGGGCTACAAAGCTCTTCATGTAAAGCGGCCATTAAACTTATCCGACTGGAACAAAAACTGAACTGCCTCTATACTTTATCGTAAAATTTTCCAATGCCGAATTTATTGAAAATCCATCCGGAGATTATCGAGCTGTTTCATGCTTACAGGCGGAACGTACAGACTAATGGCACTTGCTGTCCCCTCCACCGTGTCGCCAACGCGCCCGTACAAAAGAACGGAAGCATACGTACGTGTATGACCGAAATATCGTGACAGATGTGGCTCCTGAGAGTGCCCCGGACATCCCTGTTTCTCCCACTGCTGCAAAGAGAAGGAGAGGCAAGGAGAACCACAACCGACCACTTACCTGTTCTCAGTCGCTGAGCGACCGGGGTACGCTGAGGTCGTGAAAGTCAGGCCTGCTCGTCTTGACAAAAATGCAGCTGTCGTCTTCCGAAGAGACTGATGAAGGAATCCGTGTAATGGCCTGATCGCGAATCATATTACAAGTGAGTTTAGTGTAGCACAGTTTTACAAACATATACCGGCGTGTAAGTCGCGACGAAACAAACAAGGAAACTGTTACAAGCTGGCGACCCGTTGAAAATGAGTGTGGTGTGAAGTTGTGTTTATGAACTCGAAAAATGTGCCTCGGATGTGCGGGTGGTGGTCCTGAAACCAGTGACGTGTTGTAACAGTCTACAGACAGTTCACAGAGAGGTGTCTACAGTTTATCGGCAACAGACTTCTGTCTACATTCACAGAAAAACAGGTAAGCGTTGTGTACATCTGTAGGCGATAATAAAGTACAGGTAAATTAATGACCACACCCTGAAGACACATGGAGGAGTGGAGGTGTAGCTCCATAACGTATTCTCGGCACAAGTTGGAGGCGAGTGGTCAGCATCACGCCCGGACAATGAGCCCATTGGATAGGAGGCTGGGTGGGCCCCAGAGCCGGTTTGGGTATGCATATTGTGTTGGTAGGCAAGTTCTCTCCAAAGTAATGTTCACGCCTGCAGTTTTTGCTTTGGAGTGCCTTATTGATAATGTAATAGCATTTTTTTTTACCTTTTCGATATACAGTGCGTACAATCAAGTGCGCGCCGCGGCTGCAATTTGCCGTGAGTCATACCACCGCAGAACGGATGCAACTTCTCCCCGCGACTGCAGTGCCGTTCCCCGATAGCGTGAGTGTAGTGGTGTCGCTGAGTCTCCGTCCATCAGTTGCTCTACATGCACACATTTATAAGAATACAGTAAAAAGATAACTTACCGTGGTTTATAACAGGTGCTGAAAGTGACCTCCTTCTGCTTGCAAACATGCCGCGCATCTCACAAATAAATTACGCGACACTCTCTGCAGTTCGTCGACGGTAATTGAATGAATTACGCGTGTAATTTCATTTTGAAGACTATCAATGCTGCGGGGATTATTTTTGTAGACTTTTTGCTTCAGGTTGCCCCAAAGATAATAATCAGAAATACTGAGATCTGGGGATCTGGGAGGCCACAGTCCTCTACTGACAATTCTGTCTTCAAACACTTCCTGTATTGCGACCATGGATGCATTAGCCGTATGTGCTGTAGCGTTGTCCTGCTGAAAATACCCGTATTGTCTTTCTTCGGCATTCAACTGATCGAAGAAGGGATTCAGTATGTCATTAATGTACCGATCAGAGTTCACGGTATCGTGGAAAAATATGGGGCCAATGATTCGCCGCGGGCTTACAGCACACCACACACCCACCTTTTCACTATGTAATGGCACTTGCTGTATAGCGTGAGGATTTTCATTGCTCCATATTCTTACGTTTTGTGCATTGACGTGGCCACCAACGTGGAACCACGCTTCATCAGTCATGAATAGAAGCTGAGGATCCACTATTCCATCGTGTACATTTTGCAGCAGCCAGTTGCAAAAACGAATTCTTGCTGCATGATCTGGTTCTTTCAGCTCATGCACAACTGTTACTTTATACGGGCGAAATTTGATTAACTTTGTGGCTGTGCGAGCAGATCCTAGCGAAACACCAGTTTCCTGTGCTAAGCGTCTTAACGATTTTCGAGGACTGATCTGTAATCTTGCCTGAATATCCTTAACCTTTTCTTCAGTCAGCACAGTTCTCTTCGATTGCTTCTTCTTGTCACTCACTGAACCTGTGGCCCGCCACTTTTTCAGAAGCCTGTTTACACACGACTTTGTGGGAACTGGCGAGTCAGGATATTTCTGACGAAACCTACGTGCGAATTTTCTGTAAATGTTTTTCCTTGCAATAGTTTCGACAATAAACACACGCTGTTTAATAGTGAACTTCATTTCCACCGTCTGTCGACAGCTGTAAACATTCCACTCCACTTCCACAGCAAGACAAAGACTGACTGTTTAATGCAACCTCGGGTTCCGATTATGCAACCATCGGCGTAGGAGCACTGCAGTCGCGGGGAGGAGTTGCATCCGTTCTGCGGTGGTATGACTCACGGCATTTTGCAGCCGCGGCGCGCACTTGATTGTACGCACTGTAGCATGTAAGAAATAAACTGTTCTTCACTAAATGTGGTATGCTGATAAAAATGACAGTAAAAAAGTTGCTCTTTCACATGCGCATAGTAAGTATTGGGGTCGTGAGAGAAGTTAAACTCGATACTTTGATGCATTTACAAGTTCTCAGGCTCCCTGAATACAAAAAGAGAACCTGGATAGCATAGTTTGTATAGCGATTGGCTACGGGTTGGACGACCGAGGGGTCGGAGTTCAAGTCCCCGATAGGGTCAAGAATTTTCACTTCTCCACGTCGTCCAGACCGGCTCTGGGGTCCATCCAACCTCCTGTCCAATGGGTACCGGGGGCTCTTTCCCCGGGGTTAAAGCGGCAGGGGCATGAAGTTGACCACTCACCTCCAGCTAGAGCCGAGGTCAAGAAAACGTAGATCTCTACATCCACTCCCCCATACACCTTCATGGCGAAGTGCTTAATTAGGTAAGCACAGGGACAACTTTACCGTTTACCTTGCCTGAATATGACATCAGAGTTTCCTGAATGCCTTCTGTCCATATACATCGCCACGTTGGTGCTTTAACAGCCGGACGGATTTTCTTCACATTCGGCATTTAACAACTTCTCCTTCGCAAGTCTTTGCCTAGTGAACATGTTTGTTGTATCTTCCTTGAGACGCCCTCCCCGCAAATACAAAATCTTCATTTCACCGAAAACGCCTCTTACAATTTTGACTAAATTCCATGGAGACCGTTTCCAGGAGAGAGTCACTCACCGACATGAGAATGTCAGATGTGACAACAGATAAGAAGTTTATTGCAATGGCAACCGGCACAACATTCGTGAAACGTCTTCATAATTGACCGGCCGTGTGGAACGCGGGGTGGCTATTGTTTTCTTTCCTTATGACTTAGCGTCACGAGTGCAGAAACTGTTCCCGTGTTTCAGAGCGATGCGTTTCTCATCTTTCTATAATATACAAAGTGACACTTGTATGGCGATAATCAATCTGTAAAGGAAAACAAATGACAATATTGTAGCATGTAAAGCCGTTGCTATGCGACGACCGCGAGACGTTTCTAGGCAACGGCTCGGTAAACACGTTCCCATAGCAACGAATCGACGCACAACAATAGAGGTACCGTTGGAAACGAGGTGTTTCTATGTGGTCCGTATCGAGGAGTTATCTTGAGACAGCTGGGGCGGCCGAGTCAGTTTTGTACGGGAGTCTGTGAAGAGGGAACTTTAGTGCGTGAAGCTGAAGAATTTCCACTGTTAGAAGCCGTTGACAGGGAACGGCTGCTGAAGACACAGTAGGCTGGAAGTGGCCGTTAATCTCGGTTTTCTAGACCCTACATGTCACAATATTCATAATGGTGAAGAAAAAGAACACGATTTTTTTTAAAACTGTGTGAACGAATATATTTATCTACAATTACATCAGTTACTATACATTTATGCCCAAAATGGTTTGAAGGTATGAGTTCTCTGTCGGTTCTAGATTCGAACACGGATAACTGAATTCATTTTTCTTAGCACGTACGCTTATGATTGAAGGAAACTGCAATTACGATAATATTGTTAGCGAGAAAACAACCACTGACAGCACCACCATAACCACCACTACCTCCATAACCACCACTACAGTAAATCCTCAATAATCCGGATTAATGAAGCAAAAGGTATACCCGAAGGACAAAAAAAAAACTTCGAACACAAATAAATGAAGAAAAAAATCGATGATACGTATAAGTAGTTCTGATAAAAATAACTAACAAAATATCACTGTAGTACCGTTGTTTGAAAACTATAAAGAGACAATACATTTATTGATCAATAGAGGACTCAGAAGTTGTACTTTGTTTTTGAACGTAATAGAGAAGGTTTGAAGAAACTGTCAAATTTTGCCTGCCTCCCTAAATGTCATGTGCCTTCTGAAGTACGAGTATGTACTCAACTGTGAAAATCTGCCATTATTTCGATGCGGATTACCCAACATCCGGATTAGCGAGGGCTTGCTGCATCTCCATACCAACATTACATGCAAGAGCGTCTATCATCACAACTACAACCAGCATCACTGCGGCAGTTGCTCAGTTACTACTACTTCGGGTAGTTATCCATCGACTTTGCTACACCACAGAGTCGATCTCAAGTCATGCGTGTTTTATGGTGAACAGTGTGTCATCGGGGGGCACGCGGTAGCGTAGTTGGTTGAGGCAATATGCTACAAGCCGGAAGGTCGATCGGGGATCGATTCCCGAAGAGGTCATTTGATTTTTAAAGTGACCTAATACTTCCAGCCGCACTATGGCCCTGGGGTCGACTTAGCTTCTAACAGAAATGAGTACCAGGAATATTCTTGGGGGTAAAGGGCGGCCGGCGCGTAAGGCTGACAAACTTGCCGCCATCTATGAGCCGACTGTCTAGAGAAAATATGGGAACCTCAACATCTCACAACCCTTTGGGCCACCACGGCCTGTTACGGGGATACTTTTACTTTTCTCTACTTTTAACGTGTCATCTATGATGGTTTTCTCCAGATACTTTCATTTCCCCTTTCAATTCTCATTTCACCAACTGCTCTGTATTCACCAGTCCTATCAAACCACGCTATTTTTCGGAACTGACGGCTTCGTCAAATGAAATTTGCAAATAATTTTAGCGTTACACCACATCACAGGGTATGCAACCCGCGTGTTGTCCCTAGGACAATACTGTAACCGTTTCACCTTACTTACGCCCGTCAGTTTACACCATGCGTTGGTCGCCTCCCTTTGGTTTGTAGCCGTCCTTAACCCACCTCTTTTTCTCCTTGTTGCCCCTGTTCTTTGGGCGCCAGTCAGCTCCTGTTGGTGTGGCTTACAGGTCTGTGGTAGGCAAAGAGATAGGGTAAAATGGTAACTAGTTGAGCCCTTGGTAGAGCGGAGATTCCTTCCCAGGTGGTTAGCAGGGTCTCGCTAAGGCAGGGAAGAGATGAACGCTGTGCCACACTCAGCACACTTAAGCGTTGTAAGCATTTATTGATACTTTGTGCACTTGGTAGAACACACAGTCAGTACGTGTATACTTTGCTATAAAGACTTAGCTCCCTTTTGTCGTAGTACACTAGAAGTTATAGGATAGTTACAGCGAACGCTTTGGCTTGTTAATTTAGACTTTTGAACAGAACAGCAGTGATACAAATGTTGCGTCAAAATAGTTTACGAGTTGGCAGACAACTGAACTTAAAGACTGACTTCTCTCAAAACCCTGGGGTCCTCGGTCCATCAGTT